AGAACTGCTCAATTAAAAGAGCGTCGAATTCGAAACAGAGAGGTACCGAGTTCGTGTCTCGGTCCAGTGACTCGTCTTTCTTTCTTCCAAGCTGGATAAATAAGTATTAAATACACTGTGGGAGGAAAAAGGAGATGAAATGCTGTACCTACCACATGGCTGTAGATTCTGCGTTAAAGAATTAAGACATTCATGGCTTATAGCATAGACCGAAGATCAGTGCCGCACCATATTTTTCGCGAACTGACCACAAATGGCCACTAGTCACAAAGATATCACGGAGGCAGACATCCCAACGGTTGCAAATATTTTTTCCTTTTCATCCATTGCAGCTACCAGCTTAAGCCTACCAACTTTGATAGATTTTTTTCATAAGCTTTCGGTTCATTCTTTCAACGGAAGGAATACTTGCTTGAGTGAATGACCGGACTGTCAACTGTGGAATTTTTAACAGTCTTATTTTGTTCATATGGAACGAAACTTACGTTGCGTTTAGAGTCGATCGCCTGTGTGTTAGAATTCCAGTGAAGATCGCATCAAAACTCAGCTAGCCAAAAATATTTAGTTGCTCTCTAACAAGCAAGTATAGGATCTTGCGTATAAGAAGCATTTCGGTCGATCGTCTTTCACGAAGATATCTGTACGTTTAGGTAGGCAGATTCAAATCAGTATGATTGTTTGTTTGTGTTTGTTGTCAACGTCAGACTTCAAGGTGTAAAACTTTGCTGTAGATTATGACTTTATCCGCGCCGAAGGTTTCATTTTCTCTCATGTTGCGGACGAAGGGTTCATCGATGCATGCGCTGGCCCGCTGTTGCGCTACAGAAGGATGATTGGTGCAGATCACATCGCGGTGCTAACAGATATCAAAAAGAAGCATAGGTGCTAAAAATGTGGCTGTCCCATTACCATTTGCAGCATTCACTTGTGCATTTACAGTTCTCACTCGATCACCGCAGACGTAAGTTCGTCTGATACAGCCGAAGCGGCAAAGTTTTTTCTCAGTGATGGTGTCATCATTACCGGCAAGAAAACCGGTTCTCCTCCAAGTATTCAGGATTTCCTAGGTTAACTCGATTTTGCAATATTCGTTGTCAAAATTTATTTGTGGTGTACTTTAGAGCTGAGAAATGGCACTTCCTTACCAGTAATAATTGGCTCAGGAGTTACCGATCAGAATGTGTCAAAGTTTGCTGAGGCTGATGCTCTTATTGTTGGTTCTTACTTCAAAAAAGATGGTATTTGGTCAAACGATGTCGAGTTTAGCAGAGTGAAGAGACTCGTAGACGTTGTAAAAGAAATCCGTCAGGAAGCTTCAGCATGAACGCAAAATTGCCTCCGTGGTAGTGTTCCGGAGAGCAACTTGACATTTATTCCGTTTTGGACATGAGGTAGACATGGACGGTGAATTTTTTAAAGTTCAGATTTCTGCTTCGCATTTAAAATGATTGAAATGTGTTATCTGTTTTATTTGTTACCTTATTTTCATTGTTTGTCAGTACTACAGAGAGAATAATAAACGTTAATAAAGCCTGGTTTGAAACTTCGCAAATCGACGGCAGTAGGTGTATACGTCGCTTCTGTTCAGCACGTGATTTAATGCATTGACCGAACCTTCCCTTATAAGCGAATCCACGAAACCACATGTACGTGCACCGGTGTAAACCTGGAAACCTAACATGACAATTTTCTGGTTACTCGAGACTCGCATCAACCGTGCAACATAAAGTACAGGGAAGCTTAATTTGACTGTTGGAATGTCGGCTTCTCCTATATTTCATGACAGGCGGTATTTTTGTTCGTAGGCAATCAGTCAGGAGCATCACATTTTAGATAACATGCCAACGCCTATGTGGAAGTATAGACTGTAGCTTCCTATTTCCTTTTCACCATCGTGGTACTGATATATAAGTGTTACGGATGAAAAATGAATGACCTGATTAATGCCCGAAATGGTTTTCATTCGACTGTTAGATGGGCGATTTAGTCATAAGCAACGCCTTTAAGCCGTCGCACCTGCATATCATCGCATTTTTTGACTGAAGTTTCTCCACGAATAATCATGTCATTTCACTCAAATAAGCTGTTCAATGTTGAGACTTGAAACATAATGAGCGGTCGGCCTACTACAAGAAGGTAAGGAGCAATTTAAACATCCAACGTAGTGCACAACTGGGAAATCGCAGCGTTGGTGAAGGATCACTTTCGAAGGAAATGCAGTCCTAGTCAAAGAGAAGAAAGCATAGCTGTTTTAATTTAAGGCCAAAACCGTAGACCTTACAATTCAATGGCATCATGCCATGAAGTGCGTAAAATGCCATATCCCAATGAATCCATCTCGCCGTACTGTTTGCACTCATTCTATTCGATTCACAGCTATGATCAGGTCAAGGAACAATGACTGGACGGAAAGATCAGAAATATGGATAAGGCAGTAATGACACTTTACTGGCTGGCTGTGCTTTCAAAGCGCTGCGACAAATATTCAATAAACAGGACATTTGACCCATATTTGTCCAAAATGTCAAGGTACTGCAACCTATAGATCAGAAGCAGTTTCTTTAATGATTGGATGGGCAATTATAGCAGGTCTTCTACAGCTGTTCTCCTGGTTAACTTCAACCATTTTCTGTCACCATCAACGGTTATTTCGGATCAACTCACGGAACCAGAAGTTCACACATGTTGGTTAAATTTCAAGATAGAAAAGGCCTCCGGTAAGGTCCGAAACCACTGAAGTTAATCAAATAATGTGGAAGAAAAATGATAGAAAATGTGCAAGCTTTCCTTTATTAAATATGGATCTGCCCTACGTTTTTCGATAAAACAAAAAATTTGAATTTATCGTCCATAGATATATCGCATTATGTCCACTGTTGCTAAGTCAAGGAAAACAGTTATAACTGATCATCCTGAAAATAAAATGTGAGATGGTTTTGGGTGGATATCTTTCCTTCCAGGAAACTATTTGACAGGCAACTTAATCTTATTATTTCTAAGTTTAACTATTCGGGAAGTCATTAATCAATGGATGGCGATCATTCCGTTTAACTTGATTGTGATCAGTCTTAAAGGTGTATTTATTCAAACATGCTGTTCAGCAATTTGATAAATGCTTACGGTATGTCTGAGTTGGTCGTTTCAAATTTTGAAGAGATATTTGCATGAAAGTACTGCATAAAAAATAATTTGTCTGAACTGACAGAGTAAGTATGAAAAACATATGAGTAAGAGTCGATAGTTTAAATGATTAGCTTAAAAGATGACATTCCAGCGCAGTTTATATCATGGTTACAGATTTAAGTATTTATCAGTGTTTGTTCTTTGCTCTGCTACAGGATCAGGGAAGATCTTCATGTTCTGCTCTAGATTCACGTTTTAATACGTACAGGTTTCGTCTAAGTCCACTTTTGAAATTGCTGTACTCATGGTAGTCGAAGGTGTATGCGTAGGCATACAGGTGTTTTATGGTATTACAGTTAGTGCGACTGCTTATGTTGTATTGTAAAACTTTGAGACGAAGTGGTGAAATTTCGTTGCTGAAGCTGTTTACGCTTTTCGATATTTCAGGTTGCGACAGGCTATTTAGCAACTAGGTTCTTTAGTTGTTTTCTCGACGGATAATTTTTTTGCTACAGTTTTTTATGAGAAAACGAACATTTCATAGCAAACTTTACAGATAAGTTCTAGCTTTCGTGCTTGTCTCAGTTTGTCCGGATTCCAGTTTAAGGTGCAAGCAAGAATATAGATTTTTTGCTGTAATTACAATCAGCTTTGCAGTATTAGTTTCGAAGTAATGTAGTTCTATGTCGAAGGTTGTTAAATGTTGTGATATTGATGCCTTTAACGCATGCAGCGACAGCCTACGATGCATTCGATGTTGCGCGTTCTTTTCCTGTATTAAGATGGTTCTGATTTGTATCGTATTCATGCTATCCGTTTTTATCTTATCTTAATCTCTTCAGTCGGCTTCTTATGTTATGATTAATTTTCATATTCATCAAATTGCCTTCGTAAGTTTTGTTAAGACTCTGAATGGAATGATTTTCTTAATAATTCCTAAGGACTTCACTGTTACTGTCGAGAAAATGTGCAAACATTCTTGTGGATTTTACTACTGTGATCTTTGAGGTGCTGGCCAGATCTCATGCCATCCAGCGATTACCTGAAAGCAAAGGCATGGTTCCAATCGTCGGATGTAATGTTAGTGTTTCATCCGTAGACTTGCTGTAAATGGTCGAAGTTCGTTTTAAGCATGGCCCAAACCCCCGGCTGCTACTCCCAGTATGAAACCTATAAATAATTTTAAAAATTTGACCAAGTTAAAATCTATCCATAGTTGTTGCTTCTCTGGTTGGTTTCTTCGTATTCGGTGCGTTTAATTTCCCTTTCTTGTATAAAGTTTTCGATATGTTCCTGTATTTACCGTATTTTAATTGTGTTCAGTCGTAATAGCCAGAGTGCGAACGAATCACTTCAGTAAAATTAAACATAAAGAATTTCCTGATAAAGAATCTTATTAAAACTATTAAAATGGATCATGGCCGATCCGCCTAATCATTTAAACCAGTGCCTGAAATCGTGCCTATCGAAAAATCCAAGCACTCGGTCAAGTTATCTGTCGTGCGAATGTCAGACTGGGGCTGACAAGAAGTCATTCCTTTCACCCTTAAGCGCCTAATCGATCCCAGAGCAAGAGCTGTGGAAAAAGTTGAGGCTATCCTGACTGCGTCTGAAAAAATTACCATAGCCTTGCCTCCGTTAGGCAGTGTTTTTCGTTAATTAACATTTGTAAATATCTTTTTTCGTTCTTGTATTTAGATGGCTACTTGTCCAGTTCCTTAGGGAGGAAATAATGAACGAATGAATAAATTGTTAAAAAGGAGACTTCTGATCAATACGAAGTGGAATGCTAAATTCGCAAGATATTTAGGTTGAACCTTAGCGAGTAAATGCGCCTCCCCTTATTCAGGTCAACCCAGAGATGGTGTCCTACAGCTGCTGCTATTCCGTGGAATGCTTAAACGGTCTGCTTAGGTGACTTGCAGCAAAGGGGCGATGTTTTGATGCCGAGCACATCATGTATTATCACTTGAAGAATGAATTGCCAACGGAATTTAAGCTCTCTTTCGTGGTAGTTAATTCAAGACATCTGAGTTATGTTTTGTCTACAAATACTTCTACTGTCCGGTGATGATGATTGAACAGAATAGTTCAGCGCAGATGTATGGCGCTAAGGGGTCTTAAGTGGACAAAACATACAGCATCACTCACATCTATCCAAATTATTGTTACTGAGGCCGTTCATCAATGCGTCTCAGGTCACAGGATTTCTGTCGATCACTAACGAACCACCTCTCATTGCGGACTGGCAGCTACTGCTTGTATATTCTCGAAAGATTCTCAATTTAGTCGATTGGTGGGTGTAATATCCCTCTACCCATTTACATAAATTTTCCATGGTAGAGCGTATCCTACATTTTCCGTTTACATGCGATGACTGACTAACATTTAAACGTAAGAAATGTATCATTAAGGCGGTAGATTAGCTTCTAAGCTGATTCATGAATTTAAAAAACGTTAATGCAATTTGTTTTACTTACCGGATATACTGACTTGAATCTTATTTTAAACTAAGACGATTTAATAGTTTCAGTGCCATCTCTCGTTTTTGTCGATCTTATCATTACAACAACTAACGGATCCTTCTTCTGTACTTAACGAGGATCACCATTGTCTAATGTCGTTGTTCCCATTCGTCCGTCTCATGAAATTTTCACCACAAGCTTAAATATTTCTTTCAGTTCATCGTCATAAATGACGCGACGTCTTCGAGATCCGTCGGTCCACCGTTATTGCGATGTAGTCCGACTCGAGCTGCATACGGAAGATTGAGGATAATTTTTATTTGAGCTTTAAATTCCATTCGATTTTGAAAATGTTTGTGACTCCTATCCATGCTTATCAGTCGTGGGCACAACGTCCGTTTATTTTTCACTACGGTAGAATGGGATTCCAGGTGACGATTCTTTGAGGCGTGGTTCGCTCGGATTTTTCCTCGGTGAGCTCCTGCACAATAATGGAATTAAAAATAGGCTGACAGGTGCATATTTTATCGATTGCTTGCTATTTGCTCAATGATGACTCGCCTTGTTGATCAGGGTAAAGAAATCATTTCAGGAAATTCGGTTTCTTCTACCTGCTTCTCTACACGGCATTCGTTAAGTAAGAAGGTACTAAGCATTTAATTGCTTTCATTTTGTATGATTGTCATATACCTATTCCTGTCTCATAATGTAACATGCAATCCACGTATGTTAACGC